ATGACAGACATTTTCATCACTGTTGTGCAAAGTTCTACTTCTGCTTTTTGATATCTTTTGAAACGCAAATAAAAGCTGTTTTTTCACTTGGGGAGAACCCCAACATTAAATTAATAATTTTTATTTATCTTTTCTGAAGTTTAAAGAGGAAAAACCATTCTCTTATCTTACTCTTCTAGTGTAATGAAAGAAAAAAAGGAAGATCTATCACATATATAAAAGAATTTTATTTTTGAAACAGGAAAGGTTTTTTGACAACAATGAGTAAACAAAAATAAAATTTTTTTTGTATATTGCTTCAATCTTCCGTTGATTTTCCTTCAAGAAGATTGAAATTAACGACTAAAAGAGAAAAAAGCTAAGAGTCGCTAGAAAAGTATTTTATAAAACAGAAAGCTTTAGTCAAAAGTACAAAAAGATTTAACAACTAGTTTAACTTTTTTGATTTAGTTATAGAAGTCAACTGCGCTTCTCACGGACACCTCAAGGAAACCTTAGCCTGGCTTTCATTGAGGGATCAAACTCTATTTGATCGGAAGCTTATGGTGAGTTTCAGAGTGCTGGTAGTATTCGAAGAATCAGATCAAAGTGCTTGGATTTACACCATTAGAGGGACATAGTACTGCTAAAGAAGGAATCACAAATCAAAAGTAGTTTTGAAATAGGGCGGACGATTTGTTTCTTGAGAACTATGTCGATATACTTATTTGATACCGCAAAAGAATAGAGAGATTGATACACTTCAAAAATTAATTTATTTGAAAATACAGATTGAGTTTCAGTAGGACCAAAAAACGTGGGGACAGAAATATCTAAAATTCGAAGGGCAGTATTTTTTCTAACACGATGTCACCTCAACTTAATACTGAAAGTTCTAGAAAAACAGAGTACTGCTAATTGTCCCCATGAACACTTTGAACTATAAGCATTAGCTTTTGAAATGTAGCATACTGTATTTTATTTTAATTCAGTGTACCAAATGCGTGTTGTTTCTTTCACAAAACATTTATTTTAACGACAAGAAAAAGAAGAACATAAATTGAAGAGAAAAACTTAATTTGGTTTGAGAAAATTAGCATAAAAGTCTTCACAGTTCTTCCATAATTAGGCTGTTAACTTTTTTTCAACTCGAAGGCCTTCGAATGCTGTGTTAAAATAATGGGTACACCCCACATAATTGCGTGTGTAACAATGAACAAAAGAACGGTTATCGGGCGGACTTCCATCCAACAAAAACTTGCATAGGAGTCGAAATATTTCAAGATGGTTTCTAGGGTTGCTGAGTCAGATATCGGGCTTTCACGAGACAAGCGAGATGTTGCATTCGTGGTCAAATTTAAGAGTGCATTCTTTAAGCTTGTTACCGCGGCATTGATTTTTGGCAGTTCACTAGAATGCAGAGCATCCGAAGTTGTTATGGGTTGCCTCAGCACACTCGGTAAGGCAGGGTATACAGCATTTGCAGGTATCATCGTCGGGCCCACCAGTACACTTTCTAAGGTTGTCACAGCGGCACCCGCTTTTGCAAGTTCATTACAATCTAAAGCAGCTGCAGTGGTCGTCGACTGCATATCTCGAGTGGAGTAGATATATTGGGCAGTGGTTTTCACTTTATCACCTTGATAATTTGCGACACACATACACACTAATATAAGAAATGCAGATAAAATGTAGAATATCATAGCGGCCCAGTTGGCAGCATCTTCTAGCTGTGGTGTTAATAATTTTTTAAGATCAGTTTCATCTTGTTCCATAATAATGTAGAGGATAAATGAACCAGTATATAAAATGGCGTCAACAACGTAAGCACTCGCAACTATATTTGCATATTTTCGCTTATGCTCAAATTCGTTCTTTCTTTCCGCAATATATTGTTGCATTAAACTGCTCAATTGTTTAAGAACATTATCTTGAACTGTCCGTTTGGTACTTAAGAGATCTGCCCGTAAATACGCATTTTTATACGCAAGATCTAGATATGCTTTGACAGCAAACAACAGTGTTGGAATCATAATAAAAATGCTGATGATATAGTAGACAGATATCGTAACAGTAAAGCCTCTATCATAACGTCTATCTTTAATTGTATAATTCCCAGTGATATTTCCATTCCAATCGAAATCTTTAATTTGTACTAAGTCACTAAGAACAGTCCCTAAGTTGAAAGAAAAGAAAGCCGGAATTGAATCTGATCTTGATTGAAAAAAGGATCTCAAGTAGCGCATTTTTCTAGAGATCAGTTTGAAAAAGCGGGATTTGTAGGAACGAGCAACATCTCGTGCCCTATTTTCTCATCTCACATACTTTTATTTTTCGAACTTCAGTTTCTTCCTATAGTCATGATAGATTTGTGGAAGTAAATTCGATCTACAAGTAGTGGCGGAGCCAGGAGTTCGTGCCAGGCTGGGCTCAGCCCATCACTTTTTACAGAATAATGAAATTGAAAGAGCATCGTTGAAAGTCTTAATTCAGCAATAATTTAAAAAACCGCCTAGGCCTAGCCCAGTCGCTGGCTCCTCCACTATCTACAAGTAGTAGACAGTGTGGACAAGTCATGAGACTGTCCGGGACTAAGGTCTTATTGGAGAAAAATTAAATAAGTGGAAAGAAAATTATTTTATTCACGTATGAAACAGTAGATTATAGTAAGAAAGTAGAATATAGAGTACTGATCACTAAAGAATGTGATGAAATTGTACTATATCCTTCCTATAAGGTTCTTATCAGAATCTTATAAGATTCTTATATTCCTTCTTATAAGAATCTTATCAATAAATTACGCATTTCCATCGACTGCCTTATATAAGATTCTTATAAGATCTCTACAGAATTGCCGTAAGATCGGTCGACTAGGGATGGAGACTTCTGTTGAATTCTATCTGGTATCCGTAGATTTCGTATGAAAAGTTATTCATAAAGCAACGAACTGCACTGTGTTTTGGGACAGGTAACGCAATACACTAATTAATCTGATGCCAAAGAGTCATTCATCTTCTTATATCTCAAGTATTTTTTCAAAAATACGAATAGGTTCACAAAAATCTAAGTTGCTTTCAGAAATTTGCTCTTCTAAAGAGCGAGAAAAAGAACAACGTAATTCAGGCCTTCGCTTTCTAAAAATTGGGGTGTAGTAGACTGTTGCAAAAGCCGAGTATGAGAATCTTTTATCGTTCTGATCGTACTCACCAAAGAAGAAAAGTATAACCAAGGTGTGAATCAACACTAAGCAATTGCGACCAAAATTACGGCTGCAGCACTCCTTTTTGGGCTTGTTGGAGTTGGAGTTGGAACGGACTTGCTGGTTATGGATATCAGATGATGATACAGTATTTCCAGTTTCTACGTCAACGAATGCTTTCCGATGCGGTTCGCGCAATATGGCCGATTCAACTACACGGTTTTTTCTATTCGAAGACGACCCTGTAGAAGTAATTTCTTGTTTGAAAACTTTGTAACAAATAATACAAGAAACAAAGGGAAGAATAACAAAATGCACAAGTGTTGCCAATGTACGTGTCGCTTTTCTAAAATCGCTGTGTCGTGTTCGCCAGTGTGTACCGTAAAATGTTGTTAGAATATCAAACACGAAAGTTGCACAACCGGAACCACAGAAAACGGATGCACAAATGAGTATCGCTATCTTGATACCAGAACTTTCAACCTAAAGATAATTTTAATTACTGGTCAATACCTATACGTAACACCTTAAAGTTAATGCCTACACTGTCGACTGTCGAAAAAATGTTTCAAAGACTCACCTGTAGATCTCTTGCGTAAAAACTCCATTCATTGACTTTAAGTGGTTGACCGCAAAGTAGGATAGTTTTGAAAATCTTCAGAAAAGCATCCATTTTTTTCTGAAACCAAGTTCGTAATGTCGTCTCTATAGATAAGTGTCCAAAGTCGAAACAGGAGAAGTTTTTTAACAACAATGAGTAAACAAAAATAAAATTCTTTTATATATGTGATAGATCTTCCTTTTTCTCTTTCATTACACTAGAAGAGTAAGATAAGAGAATGGTTTTTCCTCTTTAAACTTCAGAAAAGGTAAATAAAAATTATTAATTTAATGTTGGGGTTCTCCCCAAGTGAAAAAACAGCTTTTATTTGCGTTTCAAAAGATATCAAAAAGCAGAAGTAGAACTTTGCACAACAGTGATGAAAATGTCTGTCATTGTCGTTAAATGTAACTTCTTTATGATCTAATGCAAATTATCATACTTCAACAATGACTTCTCGTTTAGTCGTTTCTGGAATCTTAGCTCTCAAACTACTAACTAAAAAGCTGAATGATGTTATGGGAATACATCTTATTTCGAATATACCTTATATTCGAATAGTTGTGCTTACATAAGAACGGGTGGCCCATAAAGAATTGTTCCCGTAGTATTTTTGACATTTTTCCCTCTATCATTTTCTTAATTGCAACATCGTTCGGATTGAAAAGGCAACGTCTGAGATTATGCACAA